ATGCCAGACAGGCTCCTATAATGTCAAGAAGACGGAAGAAGAGCATTTGTCTTATTAATAGACTACGAGGGATTAGTTTGGCGATGGACTGAACCATTTTGATGCGAAATTGACTTTAATGTGAAGTTTCTTGGTGCCATAAGTATTGAGACGAATTTATTTAATTTTTTTCTATGAAACATCTCATGACGCTTATTTTCTGTGGTGGTCTGCATATATGATTTTATTTAAACCAAGTATCTAAGCCATTCGTTGGATTGTCTTGTATGTTCAGTTTCCCTTCCCCAGAGTGCTTTTCTTCAAACTGGTGTCAGAGGTTAGAAGAAAAAAAACGAATAACACATTTATATCGTCATCTATACGCAGTTACCTTATACAAAAGATTGTTATGAGTCTACTTGTTGAGGTCAGGGTCTGGCTTAATTAGGTGGGGCGTAAGCTGGCACCCTTTTTTTGGTCGCACTTTTTCCACTGTCTGTTCACAAAATATCAAAAAGAAACCTCTTCACCCTGGCTGGAGGTTGTCGAATAAGAGAGACGGCCGAAAGAGTTCCGGGCCGCGCTCAGAGCCTAAACCATGTCAAGTACAGACATTAGTCGCAACTTACATCCATCTCTGCTCATTTCTCGTTTCTTAACATTCTTTCACACGCGGCGCCGCACATTCCCAACTACTGCGGCAACGCTCACGCTACCCGGTCCCCCGCGACGATAACTCCCACACACTGCGCCGGCCCTCTGCTTAAGTGTGCTCGCACCAGCCACCAGTCCGGGCCATCCCTCAGAACACCCCGGCCCCGGCACACCAACAACCATTCCGGACTCGGTCATCGATTCACCACAGCGCATTCTATGTCTGTTAGAGTCGCTGGACTGCTAGTCCTTTGCTCTGCAACCAGTTAGGAAGTGTATCAGCCGCGCCCATCGACTCGGCGTCTTATGTGTTGTGGTACTATCCTGGTTGGCTCCTTGTTCCACTAACGCTGATAATCTGTCCTTCAGTCTCTCAGCACATCCACGAATGACCAGCAAATCTGGTTCCGTTCGTCTTGGGTTGAAGAAACTATGTGACAGTCCTGACCATGTCACAAGGAAATGCATAACCAGACAGCCAGCCAGCCAGTTTCATTCTCTTTGTAGTTGGAGAACTCGATCTGTCACCGAGTTAAGTTGTTCAATTGTAGTCGGCTACAGCTAACACTTTCCGTGGTTGCGCGCAGACCCAGACAGTTGAGGGACAGGCTTACCAGTCCGATGCGGGCGATTGTACACGCATCCTCAAAGTGACACTTGGGCCCCCTTTTCATGTGATGATACAGTGATAGTTATGCCGAGTTGACTGTTTAATGGTGTCTCAACAATGTTCGGCTATGAAAGTCATTATCCGCACTTATGGTTGTTTTGCTTTTGCACCTTCTATAGAAGGCCTCTTTGTATCTCCTTAATGTGTTATGACTACGACCTCATCTTGAAATGACTTGAAAACTTGTTGATCTATCGTTTCTTCTCATCTCAATGAGCATAACCGCCTGGAAATGCATTTCCTAGTTAGGCGAGGTTTGATTTACGATATTGCGGGGCAGTGCTAAACCAGCACAGTGCAATTTGAAGATAATGCGTGAACAATAAAGTAACAACGACATCGGTTTTCCTGTTGGGATTTATAAGATAATTGAGAGAGACCAAAGAAATGTTTTATATTTTAGATGCCATTACGTCGCTTCCCATGTAATCCACCTGCAGAGAGCTGCTTCTGCGTATGCTTTTGTTAGTATTCCTAGAAGTGGGTGATAAATATTAATGTCTCTCCGGCCGTTTGGAACAGCAGGCGAGGTCTGGGATTAAGGATAAAAAATACTGGGTCCGCTTCAATCAGGCTTCCTCCTGTCGGTGATATGGACGCGGATCACAACGACGAGAAGATTGAGGGGCATAGTCAGGGGACTTTGACCAGATGCTACCCTGCAGCTTGAGCCAATCTCAGCACTATAATGCAAATTCATATTATAAGTCTTGGTGAACGCACTTCCCGCAAAATTGCGTGGCTTTTTTTTTCTCAGCCCACCTGGGCTTTTACACCTTTTTTAAATTCCCTAGCTGAGACACAACATGCAGCAGAAGTAGAACACAACCAGACCATTGAAGCTACTAATCGATTTTAAGAAAATGGGTCTGTCCTAAAGGGTTCTTCGTTTTAACAGGTCAGATTTTTCCTTGCCCGCCGTCTGCGCCAGATGGCTTGCTCCAATGGTGTTATTCTGACGTTTCGGGGTCTCTGAGTAATTTTGTTACATATAGTGAGTTCAGGTCTAAGACCAGTGTCTCTATTTGAGAAAGTGTCCCTGAGTATACAACTTCAATTACCTGCTGTATTACGAAATATGTGGGATCTCGCTGCGCGGAATTGCAATCAACTTTTAGGTTAGCTTACGTCATGAGCCTTACTCATATTGACGGTGTTGTAGTGAGAGGTGTGATGGCAATGTGGATCATGTATGATGCAGTATATCTTTTAATCATAGAAGCAGTCTAGTTTGTTGTTATTCGTGTTGTGTTTCGAATGAGAGTAGCACGCCCAGTTGTTTGCAAACTGTTGTTCGGTTATGATTTTGTTTGCCGACAGTTCGTTGTCTTATCATGCGACCGGACGACTCCCCGGACCTTTACATGAGTGGCCGCATTTAGTCTAGGAGGATATGCTACGTTCGGTTCCTTGTTTTTTGTTATTTATCGGTGCGCGTGTCTTCAGTACCGTTTCTATCGTTGCTTTATTTATCGTGATGGTGTGTTTTTGTGTTTGTGTTATTTCTTCGTTTGTTGTTTCGTGTCTTTTTTTCTTCGACAGTACTCGCAACATTTTGCCTTTAAGTTCAGTTGTCCCTTTATTTGTTAGCGTAATTTGATTGTGTTTTTCGTTGTTTTCAGTTTTGTATTTTTTTTGTTATTTTTGCCGCCATCTGCGATCCTCGCCTGGCCCACGCGCGGGTTGTTTTGTTAAGGAACAACTGCCCGTTAAAAGGGGCCACGGCGCGTGGCAGAAAGGCCTAGGAGGCGCAGGGCACCCATTTTCTTAAATCCATACTTGTAATGCCTGGTTGGTTGTTGTTCCGTGTGCGGCTCTACGTTTTGTGCTCCCAAGCTACACTGGATTTAAGGAGGCTGGCTTACAAAACCCAGCGGCTCGATGTGACGAAACAAGCAAAAACAAGAGCACCATCGGGCAGCCGAGCTGTTCCACCAAGCTTAATTGAATTTGGTATGTCGTGAGATGCTGCCATGGAGAGCGAAGTCACAGCCGCGCTGGGTGGGCCGCGCGCATCGCGCTAACGTCCTCAGCTATCCCCCTCAATACTCTCTTTGTCCAAGCGGTCCCACTATACGCGCCAGCCGAGGCCACGGCCCAGCGTGAATGCTCATCGGACCCAGTTCGCTTTTATCTTAATCCAGCCCCGATCCGCCTGCGTGTCAAGACGCCAGGCAAACTCAGACTTAATACTTCCGACCCCCTTCTAATCCTCACAAACAATACCAAGCGGCCTCTTGCAGTGGATCACATGAAGGGAGTAATGGATCACCATAAAATATAAAAATCTTTGGTTCTCTCAATTTCTTATAATCCAACAGTGAACACCAGTTGTTTTAGCCTTTTGTTAGTAACTTCATTGGCTGTGTGGTTAAGCAGCTGCCAATTCCAAAAACATGCTTTCAGGCCCGTTAGGCTCATTGAGATGAGAGAACTAATCAAGTTTCAGTCTTTCCAAGTAGTGTAGATACATTAAAGGGAACGCAAGAGGCTTCTTAGAAAGGTGACAAAAGCAAGCAACATAAGGCATAGGATGATTTATAGCAAATGGATGCCACAAATAAATCAACTGTATTTTCCTGTATTCTCAACAGAAATAGGGCCCCAGTAAGATTTCACTTGGGATGTGTACAATATGCACGCTGTTGTCTCCACTGTCTGTTGCCAGTTTAGCTGTAGGCTAATTAACATAACTCAGGAAATCCAGTTTCCGACAACAAATCATGACAACTGCTGGCGTGTCTGGTTATGGGCCATTCTGTATGTCAGGAGCTGTATCAGTTTCTCAAAACCAACCCGAAAGACCAATGGGTTGTCAGTGTTTTGATGTCTGGAGAGAACAGGTTGTTCAAAAGGATAACACCAAATAGTAAATGATTGCTACATTATATATCTATACTGGTTGGCATCAAAAGCTAGTCACATTAAAGACATGATGAATCCGCACCTTCTGTGCCGGCATTCCCGCGGGCGCTCTGAGTTCACGCTAAGCGAGTTAACCACCGCACTCACACCTCCACTCTTATTCATCATACTCATCAGCGCGTCCACACACATATTGCATTCAATCGCAATCTTAAAAAGAGAATGGACAAATGTTAATTACCACGCACTAATGTTTACTTAATGTTAGGCTTCCTGGGTAACGTTTCTTTTTTAATACGAAACCTAGTACAGACGCAGTTCCTGACATGGACGCAAAAAAGGTGGCCAAGTACCTATCTAAGCACAACGCCGACCTCAACATAGCCACAACCACAACAAACACACAACACAACACACAACCACCACACACAAACCACACACAAAAACAAACAACAAACAACACACACAACCATCACACCAACACCACAAAAAACACACACACCACAAACACAACACAAACAAAACACCCACACACAAACACAACCACAAACCACACACACCAATTTCTCTGCGCACTCGGTCACACTGCGCCACGCCACCCCCCATCTCACTCTAACTGGGCGGCACCACGCACTCTGGACACCAACTCGAAAAACACACAACATCAACACACCCCATCACATCACCACACCGGACACACCAGGATCACCCCGCGCCACACTACCCAGCGCACAGACAACACACACAATTCTACACCTAACCACCACGGCCGCATATATATATTTATAACCCACAGAACATTCACACCATTCAACACCCATATTATCCTCTCCACATCGGTCTAGAATCACACAACAACGCCAACCTTACTTCAGTCCTTTCAGCACTCACGCACAAATGCTTCTTTCTCCTCTTATCGCTCTCCCTCCGCTTCTCTCTGACACGTTCTGAGTGACGCTGCCTCGAGCAGGCAGCGCTTGAACGATTTCGTCACTCGACTTCTCCACGGCACTATCACCACTTCTTCTCACCAACACACCACCTCTCTAACGGCCCGCACCACGGGAGCAGCAAACGAAACAGCTCACGGGACGCAGAAGATGCTTCCCGATACCACACATCTTTCTCCTGCCATACGATTCCGCATATTCGCTGCTGTGCGGTCGATCAGCGCGCCGCACCCCTCACGCTGTACCGATCTGATACGCAGTAATCTTGATAAAAAAAATATCATACTCACGCCTGCATGACTGTCGAGTCCCAGGATTAGTCATTGTGGCTAAGGGCCCTGGCTTCAGTAACACGCGCCTGTTGTAAAACATGAATACAACTAACAGCAAATTCAAGCATTTATTTTTACATTTATCTTTTAAATTAACAACAGTTAGAAAAACCAGTAGTGGGCAAGCAGCAACCTTAATTAAATAGTAGTCCAGGAGATCAAGTTCATTGATTGTTTTTACAATTAAAGGGGCAGGGCCACGCAATATTGCAAACATGAAGCTCGGACGAGTAATGCAGCAAAAACCAAGCCAGCTTCCCAGAAGGTCTTGCTGCTGCGGGCTCGTAACTTCTTTTTCGCCTTATTGTTTTTAGAAATTCGTCGCGGGAGCGCTCCTTCTAGGGTGAACGGCGTCTCCAGGTGTTTCATTAAAATAGCTTGTGTTAAAAATTAGCAACACTCGTGCCACCGCTTGAGAATTTTATCCTTTGCACCCGTTACATGTGGCATGTTCTTACTGGTGGGCAGATTGCCCGTGTTGCACAATATTGCCACCACCGCCGACATATACGTAACTACTTAGCTTAGCTTCAAGGCGCTCGCGTCAACGCGGGCCCTCCCTGACACGTGTCGTGTCGTCGTTGTCTCGTCTTGCTTAAACCATGATCAATTCCCTCCTCGTTCCTCTAAACAAGCGAGCTGGAGGTTGCAGCAAACCAGCGCCCCACCCCTGTTTTAAAAGCCAGGGGAAGAAGCACTGTACCAGCGGCTTAACGGAGCTAACCAGTAATACGGATTACTATTTTAATAAAACTGACGTCGGTGACGTGGTATCGGATCGGTGCCTAATAACTACAGCTTGTTTGTTCATTATATATATTTTTTTATCCCTTTCCTGTTACCTCGTCAGGTTCTGTAAGTTCTGTTCTTTGAAGATTTAAGCAGTTCATGCAGATTTGGAAAGAATTTGTGATGTTCTTCAGGAGAACTGGTGAGCCAGTTTGCTCTTATTTTGCAGTTTTTGTGAAGGCTGGTTAAAGCCAACAGTATTTTGTTAATTACTGGGCCTTTATGTGCTGTGCCTCTGTGAATCTGGCTGAATAGGGTTTTTATGCTAATGCAGCACTTTAGTTTGTATAAACAGGCATCTGAAAGGCCTTAATGAGTATCGGAGGACTTTTAAACACAAGAACACACTGCAAAACCATGATTCCTACCTCTTTGAAGCATGGTGAGGGGTTGCGCATCTGCTCCAGCATGGCCCATTTGACAGAGGCCTGCCGGATGTTTCCATCGTATTCCCGTGAGCTCTGGGTGCCACTGGGGGTCCCACGGGAGCGTTCATACCCTGGTTCATTGAAGTAGGGCTCGGCCACCAGAATGAGGGACTGCACCGACACTAGCACCTACAGCAGATTGATTAATATTAAAAAAAAGAGGCAGGGAGAAATGGAATTATGTGATGAAAAAACTGTGGTCCAAACAAAAAATCCCATTATGAACATACTAAGGATTTGAAGAACCAGTCTGTTAAATTTAGTGGCGGTAAAGTTACAGTTTACAGCTTGCCCAAAACGTTCAGGAGAAACTACATTCCTATCTAGAGCCAGTGTTTGGTTTGTCCATTCAGGGCTGCTCTAGAAACATGGGGGTTCAACATGGCAGACAAGTACAAGAGGTAGATTCAAAACAGCTCATTCTAAGGTAATGAAAACACGATTCTTATATTCAGGTGATAATACACTAATGAAAACATACCTAGGATTATTATATTCCATTTCTGCCAATAGATTCTCCTAAATATTACACACTGGACCTTCAGATGATATAGGTAACTTGGTCTGGTTTCCAGAGGAGCTTTGATGAAAACCAAATTATAATAGAATTTATGTGTCCAACTAGTTATGTATAATCCTGATCTATTGGAAAGTGACCTTAATATACCCTCAGTGTCCTCAACATCCAAACCCACTAAAATGATCTTGGCAGTGGTGGACACTTAGAAGAGAGTCTGACAAAAGCAAGGAATATTTTGGCCCCATAAAGATATATCCTTCAATATATCTTTATTAACAGCTCGATTAATGCTGTGGCCTGTCTCAAGGAGACTAAGGACGTCGTCCTGCATCACTCTGTCCATTTCAAGCCACTACATTACCCACAATGACGATCTCTGGCTTGGAGGCATGCCTGCTGGCCCCCGCCACACTGGAGCTGGACGATGTACGCTTGAAAATGCTCCATCAAGTGAATACCAATGACCTTCAACTGATGCAATCTGTCTGTGTTAACCTGGGATGCCACATTTCAGAGACGGTAACCAACCCGGTTGATGACTGCTTGATCCCAGCCCACTCCTCTGTCTCCCATCCCCCCCCTTTTCCATTATTGATCCGCAGCACGCTAACTGTAATGATAATCAGCAGAGACATCTCTATGCACTCTATAATCCTGCAAATAAGGGAATTATAGGTGGAATCAATTTCTTGTTGTTGGATCAATATGGAAAATTAATGCAAGTATGTGGATGGCAAACAACAAAATAATGTGGGTGTCAACATGACTTGTTGAATGTTAGAAGAATGTTCTATGGCTTGACAGTTGGATCTTTGTGAGGTACCTTTTAACTCTGTATCCTTAAATCAATTTCAAAGCAAAAAAAAAAAGAAGTTCAGTGTGTCAGACTTGCAAAATTCAAGAAAAAAAAAGGAATTACTGGTAAAAGAAACACAAGTTAGGATGACAAAAATGTTATCAGATAAGAGTACAGACAGAGGATTTTTTAGAATAGTATAAAAAGTGTTAACAGTCTACTAAATCAAGGCTAAAAACAGATGGCACCTTGGCTAAATGTGCAATTGAAGCCAACTGATTCTGACTTCAAGATGAGTGAAGTGTGTAAGCAGGCATAACCTGGAGGTTCAAAAGATACCGGTTTGTTTTTGGTTTGATTAACACCCACAGACTGTCACCAAAGCAAAGTAATGACTTGACTTCAAAAAGGATCCTTCATGTCAGCTGTCGCCAAGCCCATTAATACAGAACCCTGGGTGGTGTTATGACAGGGAAGTGATAAACTACAGCCTGTGACACAAAGACTCAGACAAGAGTCCTGCCGATCCACTCAGACAGGTGACTATCATGATGGATCTGCACCTCACCTGTAAAAAGCTTGAGGTCTGTGGGTTCCATTTCTCCTCTGGTCTCCCATGCCATGTGTTGAGGATACTTAAACATACCTAATTAATACAAACAGAAAAAAACATTAAGCAATCAGTTTCAGCAAAATGAGATATGCACCACACATTTAAGCCCAACTCAGGGTTCTTATACTGGTGCCAGACCAGGTCTAGGACGATTTAGTGGCATCCATCGGTGAAGCTCACCTTCCACTCATGTAGGAGAAACTATGGTGACCGTGTAACATTTCCATTTCTGCCAATAGATCCTCCGAAATGTTACACACAGGACGTTTAATGTCTATGCTAGTCTGGAATGTGGGTACAGCACACTGTGCATTCTATCAGCAACATCTAGTCAGGAGAAGATCCTTCATTTACCACAGACGTTCAACAATGAGTAACTAAAAAAAATTAAGGCGAATGGCTCTATCCATTGTTGGACTCGATAGCAAGCTTTGAAATTAAGCATTTTTTTTGTTCCTATTTAACTAAATGAATTACTCCTGATTGCTCATGAGAGCAGTTTCTAGCAATGACTTCACCTCTCTGCAAAAAGCTTTCTATGATCCATCTACTTTTTCCTCTTACTCTTTCTTCCATTTAAAAATCTGTCCATCCCTCATCAGCGCGCTGAATGGTGGCTTGCTTGCTTCCTGCGAGCTGTACCACTGTGGGAAGCCCCAGGTATTTTTTTTACAGCAGCTGTCTGGGGCCTTTATGGAAATACATGTGGAATGTCAGTGGCTGCCTAACGAATTGCAGCAGTCCCAAGCCCAAGTTTACTATACCAGCCAGACAGGGCAACATTGGCACGCACAAATAGAAAATTACCTTTCAGTTTAATGTGTTTGACACAAATGGCCTTTTACCCAGTTGTTAGAAGAAGTGATTTTTGAATCACATTGCATCTACAGGTATAAAGAGTTAAAAAAATCCAACATTATAGTTCTATTTACTTGAGTGAAGACTAACATTAACAGACTGAGTTTTTTTCTACTCACTTTGCCATCATTGTAGAGGTTAGGATTAAAGCGCACACTGTGTCCACCGGTGGTCTCCAGGTTGACCAGAGGAGGCGAGTTGGGATAGTCTTGGGGAAAATACACATCAAACTCAAAGCAGCCATTGGCATACGGGGTGTCGGCTGGTCCTGTGATGAGAACCTGTTTAAACAAAGAGGGGAAAGGCTTAAATACAAACAGCCAGAGAAAGGGAGTTATTAATCACACACTGAAAGAGGGTTAATTAAAGAAAGGTGGAAGCACTGATAACAGTAAATATCCATTAAAACAAAGGGCAAACTGCAAAATATGAATGGAGAAATGGTGCTGACTCTCTTTCAGCTACAACAATGTGAAGAAGAACAAGTCTAAAGGGTGAAATTAGCAGAGAGAAAGAGCCCAGTTCTCTCTACAGTTCTCATAGCATTTGTAGCAGTTTTTTATTTATTTTCTCTCTAAATGAGATTAGCTCATTAATCAAAGAAACAAGCATTTATTTGTTACAAGGACCTGAATATATATGTAAATAATGTAAAATAATCAAACAACCAATAGTATCTCTAATAGCAGGCAATGTCAAAGCCCATATCCATAATTTCATTTCATTTCATTTAAGAAAGGGTTGCAGCATTTTATTTGTGAGCTGTGCTGTTTGGAAGTCAAACCTGGAGAACAAACAGTAAGCAAACATAGATATTGTATTTAATTTAAATTTGGTTTTATGCTTAAATAATGCTATATAATGCTCGAAAATCCCAAGGCAGCTGACTGTGGTTGATTACAAATCTCAAGCAAGACTGAGGCAAAAACTTGTGTCATTATAAAGCCTTTGTATTGAGAGCATTCTGTATGATTGATAAATAGAATGTTTTTACATGGAGCCAAATGGAGCCACAATAAAAAATAAATAAATAAATAAATAAAAAGCACTGAATATACAGTAGGAAAGTTAGAGGGCACAACATGGAACCTGATACTTATATTGCATTTTCGACCAAAGTTGGGTAAATCTGGAGTGGAAGCATTTTAAGAGTGAAACCAACACTGTGACAGGGCTGAATAAAAGGGCTGTTTTAGTACTAAAGGAAGGATGCAGGGGTGAGGTACAATGTACTGACCCCTCACAGATCATGGAATTTCCACCTCACCAACTACTGTCCGTTTCTGCTGATGCTAATCCTAAAGCCATGCTATTCTTGGCGAAAAGGTTAATTTTGGGATGTTTAATAAACAAGCGTAACAAAACAATGCACTGCTGTGACATGACTGTTGGCTGTAGGTACATTTCTTTCTTTTATTTCCCACTTCAAGATCACAGCTAGTCTAAAATTGGATTTATTATGCATGTACTGCTTTGTATTAAAATAATTACCGTTTGTACTTCTAGGTCAACTTCAAAGTAACTTGACCTGCATACTTTGTTGGAAGTGTAACTACACAGCAGAGGGTGGGGTAGGTAGGTAGGTAGCTCTCCTCCTATTATAGGGTATATATAACACTCTCTTTGTATAAATGTCATGAATTAAGCACTGGCCTTGCAAGGTTATGGGTGATTTAAAACAATAATTGGGGTGTTGAAACATTTTAATGAAATGCCAATTTCCGTAAGTTAATAACGTAATAATGTCAATATTAACTCCAGCATTGATGTTTCATCACAGTACAGTCATATAATTTAGTTTATAGCTTAATAAACATGTTTTAGCGTGCAGGACCTCTTTAGGAATTTTATGGCCAATCAAACAGTAGTATCAACATTTTTTCCTACACTACAGTTGCTTAAATTGTTTGTGCTCTTAACACTACAGAATATGAACAAAATGTTGTTATTACACTGATGTTTTTATACAGTTCTGTGTTCATATGTTTCAATTAGGGTTTTGACTGTTAGTGTGCTGTTGCCTTTCTTAGAGAGTTATTTTGCTAAAACCAAGCTAAACAGATGAGGGTTTTGACATTTAGCAGAGAAGACTGTCATTAATCAACTTGGGGGGTTAGAGCCATTTATTAAATGTCACTGGGGGAATGAGTAAGAGCTGTCGTTGACAAGTCGTATGGTAGAAACACCAGACTCAGTAAGTACACAACATCCTTATAGAAGTGTTCCATCAGTCTTACGCAGTTCTCAAACTAGTGATTTCTATGAATCACAGGGTGCAACCTGATACAAACCACACAGTACTATGACACTTTGATTGACAATTTACTACAATGCACACAGTCATCCAAACCAATTATGAATGCCAGAGTTGTGTGGTTTTACACCATCTCAAAGGTTGGTACTGTGGCAAAGTAGTTCTTTACCTTCATGATGTCCAGTCTCTCCTCATCACAGCGGACGAAGACACTGGAAGAGGATGACAAGGGCAGAGAGGTGGACAAGGTGACGGCCTCCTGGGCGAGGCGGCGGGATCGGGCTGCACTGTTTGTATCGCTGGCATTCTTCACCTGAGACATGTAGTGGTAGTTGACCTTAAACATTACTTTTCCATCCTCATCCTCTGAGACCATTTCAAAGGTGTCTGGAAAGAGAGGAGAACAGATATGAGAAAGAAATTCTCATATCCAACCAAAACCAAAACCTTAAAACTCATCATAACGGAAAGGGGGAGAAAGTGAGGGGGGACGACATGCTGCAGGTCACAATCTTCCCAGGCTGCTGCAGCAATGCAATGCTCATGTGGCGCATGCAGTCAAATTATTTTTTATTGCTTTAGACATCAAGCTACTTACAAAATCAATTGCAGCACAGCAAAACTGATGTAATTAATCATGACATGGCTGAATGCAGTGACGGACAAGACAAAAAAGATGAGCAGGCTGTAGCTAGACTCCATTTCCCTTTGAGAGTTTTTGCATGAAGGCATTGTGGATAATACTGGACAGGAGGCAAGATAGAAGAGTGTCAAGTGTTTGAAATGCGTCCCTGCATCAACCGAGGGTGGCTCAGAGGCAGAGCAGGTCATCCACTAATCGGATTGTTGGTTTGATCCCCGGCTCCTCCCGCCACATGTCGAAGTATCCTTGAGCAAGATACTGAGCCCTGAATTGCTCCCAATGCTGTGCATCAATGTATGAATTTGTATGAATAATTTAGTTTCTGTTCTGTTTCAGTTCCATCACTGAGTGAATGTGTGTGAAAGGGTGAATGTGGCATTAGTGTAGTGTAAAAGCGGTCGGAAGACTAGAAAGGCGCTATACAAGTACAGGTCCATTTACCATTTGAAATCTTTTACAGGCACATTCTTTTC